TAGCTTTTGCACCTAAGAGAGGTGCAAAGTCATATTTGAGGATTTTGGATGTAATCTGGGATATGTTTTTTTTTTTTGTACCGGAGATCGAACTCAAGCCCTTGCTTACAAGGTAGGTGCAGTGCCACTGAGCTAAATCCCCAGCCCCCTGGGATATGTTCAAAAAAGATTACTTTAGCCACTTATTGAAAACAGAATTTGTAAGGGCAAGGAAGTAGGGAAGTTGTTCACAATAATTCAGGCAGTTGATGCTCATGGTTTGTGCCAAGATGAAAGTGGTAGAGATGATAAGTGGTTAGATTCTAGATTATGCTTTAAGTCATTCTTTCCAAGGTTAAAACAATGTATTAAAAACTATGATACAACATAAAAGTAGCCTAAGACGGAGGAGATATAGTGAGAATTAAGAAATAGCCCAAGAATAACTAAAAATTTTCTTCTTCAATTTGCACTGTCTTCAAAGGCAGGTAAGTGGACCAGTGTTCAGAAAATATGGACCCTTGTAGATATTTGAAATCCATATAGTTATAAGAAAACTCACTCAGCCTGGATCAAGAGTTCCTATGGCATTACTTTGTAACTGATATTTCCAAAGACTAGTGACACATTATTATGACAGGTACAGTTACTTGGGTTCCCCATAGGTTTTATGTCATTTTCTATATTTTCCCAGTATGTGTCATCAGCAAGTCACTAAATTTAGGGTCTTCTTATACTTTATTTCATTGTCAGCATCAAAACGTACATTCATCATATTGTTTTTTAAATTGTTCTTAACAGGTCCATCTTTCCTAATGTACTCTAAGGTCCTCGAGAGCAGGGACTGTCTTATTTATCTTATTTTTCTAGTATATGGAATATGCCTGCCATTTAGTAGGCAAAAGCAAATTTTTAATAAGTGAATAAATGTAAGAAGTTTATTTGAGTGGTGAAACATTTGACATGTTTTTGAACAAAGGCAGAACTAATCACATTAAGGAAGTCTTTAATTCAAATCTTAGCTTGTAACTCAGCTCAATAATTGTTTTTTTGCCATTTGTATTTCTGACCAGTGGTATTTCAGAAAGACTGAGGAAAAGATAGGAAGGCATATGAATACCATCTGGAGTAGACTAAAAATAAAACAAATGCCTTACCCTTAAATAATGACCTGAACAAAAACAAAAGCCAAAACCTGTATTAGATAAATATAAAATTATACTTTGTATTTCCTACTGTCAATCTCCAAGATTAAAATGAACTTGAGAAAAGTAAGACACTTATTTTTTGTTGCTAGGGAATCAACCTGGATCCTCATATATGCTAGAAAAACACTACCTCTGAGCTGCATCCCCAGCTCATGACATCTTAGTATATACCTAATGATAAAGAAGAGTATCAGGTGAAATATGTCTCATGAATTATTTTCTCTCAGTGGATGAAAACATCTGACTTCTAAGCTAAGCTACCCAAAAGAAGACCACATTTTATTCTTGTACATAATGGTCAAGTTAAAGGAGATATTTAAAGGGTAAAGCACCAAGCCAGGAATATGAGAAAAAAACTTGTTGGAAGAAAGCAACAATTTAGGAGTTTGAGTTTCAATTATATCTGACCATGACTAACTCAGTCACTATGTTTTAATGAAGAAGGGTGGCAATCTCAACAATTAATAAAGACTGCAGAAATTGGGATGGTCTTCTGTGAGCAGTACAGTTCTATGGCAACACAGAACTGATTCTGGGGCTGAAAATCAGCCTCAGAAGTTCTTTAATGAGCAAAAAACCCAATCTATCATTTATTTTTATTTGGAAAATACTTTTCCTCATGTATTTTATAAAATACTGGTATTTACTGAGATTCCACATTACTCCAGAAAGAATGGTTATCTTGAAGGAGAAAAAGACAACAAATTCTGGAGAAGTTGTGGAGAAAACTGAACCTTTTTGTTGGTGAGAATGTAAACAAGTACAGCTACTATGGAAATCAGTGTGGGGATTCATTCCTCAAAAAACTAAAAATAGAAATTTCATCTCATCCAGTTATACCTTTATTTGGGGTATTTTCCTAAAAGAGTTAAAGACAATTTTACAGTAACACATACATACTCATGTTTATAGCAGCACAATTCATAATAGTTAAATCTTGGAAGCAGCCTATTTGTTCATCAACAGATGAATGTATAAAGAAAATGCAGTATGTATATATATATATATATATATATGTGTATATACACACACACACACACACACACACACACACAATGGAATATAGAAAGAAGGATAAATGAGTCATCTGTAGAAAAATGAATGCACCTTGAGACCATAATGCTAAGTGAAATAAATCAGACCCAGAAGGTTAAATATTGCATGGCTTCTCACAAGAAACCTAAAATATAAATACTGTAAAGAACAAATAAAAGATAGATAGGAAACAGGGAGACAGACTTTGTAGAGATGGGGTGGGGACAGAGGGAGACTTGGGGTAGGGGGTAAGGGAAAGTAAAAAGAATCAAGATGTGATATGTGTATGTACCAATTCCCCATGATGTATGCATTTATTAT